TGCAGGAGTAGACTAAGCTCTGTGTGGCTGCTATGGCTCCTGATTGCAAGGTTCCGCACAGAGACAGTGAATTACCACATCTATGAGGAAGAGACCCCGGGGACAGTCATTGGTGTCCTCTCTGAACACTCTATGCTTGATTCAGCCATTAAGGTTCCCAGAAATTTCCTCCTGATGAAGCAGTTCAACAATTCCCTGATCCGGGTGAATGAGGCTGATGGAGAGCTTACCGTCGGGGAGAGCGGTATCGATCGAGAACAGCTATGCCAGCAGTCCCTGCAATGCACACTGGCTTTCGACGTGGTCAGCTTCTCCCAGTTAATCCATGTGGAAGTGGAGGTGAGAGACATCAATGACCACACCCCACGTTTTCCAGCCTCTGAGATCTTTGTGGAGGTATCCGAGAGCGTGACTGTGGGCACCCGCATCTCCTTGGAAGTGGCCGTGGACGAGGACGTGGGTTACAACGCCCTCCAGAGCCTGCGTCTGGTTGAGCCACACAGCTCCTTTTGCGTGGAGCTGCAGACTCGAGCTGATGGCGCCAAATGCGCTGACCTGGTGCTTTTGCAGGAGCTGGACCGTGAGAGCCAGGCTACTTACACCCTAGAGGTGGTGGCCCAGGACGGTGGAAGCCCCCCGCGCTCCACCACAGCCACTCTCAACGTTCGGGTGCTGGATGCCAATGACCACAGCCCAGCCTTCCCACAGGGCGCTGTCACCGAGGTGGAGCTGGAGGAGGACACTCCCGAGGGCTCCCTGCTACTCGACCTGGACGCCACAGACCCGGACGAGGGCCCCAACGGTGATGTAGTGTTCTCCTTCGGTGACCGAACCTCGCCTGAGGCGCAGTTCCTTTTCCACTTGGACCGGCTCTCAGGCCGCCTGACTCTGGCTGGGCCGGTGGATTATGAACAGAAGGACACCTACGAGTTGGACGTGAGGGCTCAGGACCAAGGCCCAGGGCCGCGTGTGTCCACTTGCAAGGTCATTGTGCACATTCTCGACGTGAATGACAATGCGCCGGACATAACCATCACTCCACTGGCAGTGGCCACGACCACCGCCTCCGACCCCTCCAACTTCTTCGCCTCTCCAGTCTCGGCCTCCTCTGCAGGACCGGGAGGCCCAGAGCCTGGAGTGGCTTCTCTGATCCCGGAGGGGGCGGCTCAAGAGAGCCTCGTGGCGCTGGTCAGCACCTCGGACAGGGATTCCGGCTCCAATGGACTGGTGCGTTGCGCCCTCTATGGACACCAGCACTTTCGACTGCAGCCGGCCTACGAGGGCAGCTACCTAGTGGTGACAGCGGCGCTCCTGGATCGCGAGCGCATATCGGAGTACAACCTGACTCTGGTGGCCGAGGACCGCGGCTCCCCTCCACTGCGCACTGTGAAGCCCTATACCGTGCTCGTGGGAGACGAGAACGACAACACTCCGCGCTTTGCGCGTCCCGTCTACGAAGTGTCAGTGACAGAGAACAACCCTCCAGGAGCCTACCTTACCACAGTGGTCGCTCGCGACCCAGACTTGGGGCGTAACGGCAAGGTGACCTATCGGCTGTTAGAGGCCGAGGTGGGTCGGGGAGGGCGCCTGGTCTCCACTTATGTCTCTGTGAACTCAGGCACTGGGGTACTAAGGGCTCGGAGGCGCTTTGACCGTGAGGAGTTGGCCGGGCTGGAGGTGGGGCTGGAGGCGCACGACGGTGGTTCTCCAGCCCAGTGGGGCCGGACCGTGGTGCGGCTAGTGGTGGAGGACCAGAACGACCACGTGCCCGAAGTGACTTCCCCACTGCTTTCCAATGGCTCAGCTCGGGTGCCGCTGCCCCACGGGGCGCCCCCGGGCTTCCTGGTCACCCAGGTGCGGGCCCAAGACGAGGACGAGGGTCCCAACGCCGAGCTGACTTACATCCTCACCCACAGTGACGGCGGCCCCGGGGAGCTGGCGCTGCACCCGCACACGGGCGAGCTGTCACTGCGGCAGCGGCTGTCTCCTTGGCCCACCGACCCTCTCACCTTGGTGGTCACAGTGCGGGACGGCGGGCGGCCGTCCCTCTCCTGCACCGCCACCCTGTCCTTGGTCCCCGCGCCTGCCTCTCCCCCTGGCGGAAATGTGATGTTGGTGCCACCTCCACCCCTGCCACCGCCTTCAAGAGAGGAGCTGGCTGGGGCGCAGCGGGGGCGGCTGCAGAGAGATTCCGGGTGGAGTCCTGACCTCTCCACTATCTGCATTGGGGCGCTGGCCGGTGGATGCGGGCTGCTGCTCGTGGCCATCGTCACCGTGGCCTCCTCGTGCCAGGGTAGGGGCCTGGTCGGGAGGAAGGCGTTTTTCAAGTGCAGTACGAGATTAGAACTGGCCAGCTCAGACAGCCGGACATTTGGCAGCCAGGGGTCTCCTGGAGGGTCAGATAGTAATGACTTTGAGAGCCTCGAAGAGTCCTACCGTCTTTCTGCCACAGATGAAGTCGAGGAAGAGGAGGAGGAAGAGGAGACTTTCAGCGCACCTCCTTCCAGGGACAGTGGGGTGTCCCTTTCTCCCTCGTCTCGAGAGAGGAATAAGACTCCTAAGTCCCAGGTACCCCACTCCCCAGCCTTAGAAATTCTAGGAACTCTTACCACAAGAATTCTGACTCAGTGCCTGCTGGAGCTTGAGTTTCTGCAGCGCATTTCAATTTGCTAATTCTTCCAGGGGCAGAGGTGGTGTGTATTTTAATTAGCAAAGAAGATTCACTTCCCATCGGACTTACAGATTTGTTGATTTTTATGTTGTAGGCACAAATATGTTTATGCGCTGCGTGCATTGTCTTTGTAGTTCAGTTTTAACACAGCCACAGTGAAGGGTTTAAATGGTGTCTTTGGGAAGAGTTTCACGTGACTAATTGGTGTGTCTGCCTTGTGGGTTTTGATGTTTAAGGGTGAAAAATTATTAACTGCTACTTTCACCTCACCTCTCTTTAATAGGGCTCAGTCTCAGCTCCTTTTCATTCCACATCTCTGTGGCAAGAGGATAAATCTGCTTCAAATTTAGGGTAATTTCAGAATATTTATTGTTATGTCTCAGCAATATGCTTGACATTTTTTATGTTGAACATTTTTAGGTGTAACCAAAGTAATTCCTTCTTTTTGACTTCCAGTACCCATTCAAGACCAGATGAATTCAGTGTGAAGGACAGTGGGAAAGGAGACATTGAATGTAATGACAATGATTCTGATATTAGTGGAGAAGGGGTCAAGAAAATATCCCTTCACGTGGCTGAAAAGCAAGCTGGTAAGTGTATACCTTCTAACTATGGAAAGCTCCAACTCTCTCTGATATCCTCTTCATATATTTGCACTAAGACTAAAAGAGCAAAATTTAACAAGTGGTCACAAATGTGACATGAAAGGAAGGCTCTTGCTGACTCCTGCTGGCTCAAAAAGGAAAAACTCTGAAATTCACGATAATTGATACTGTTTTACATCATGATGCTGACAAAATGTCAAGCATATCAGGTGTTGAATTTGACTGTACATGTGAGATTCTCAGAGAGGAATTTCTGGGAGTTGTTAGGTTGGAACACTACTTTCAGCATGGACAAAACTCCAAATGTTGTTTTCAGCAGCACAATATAAAGGGACCACTCCTTCTTGTTCTCCAGGTATTATATACTTCCATTAACGCAGTCTAAGATTATGCTGGCTTCTTAAGCAGCTGCATTAGATTGTTTTACTGCTTGAAAGATTTTAGTGTTATCTGAGAAGCTGACTTTCATTAAGAATGTGTTTATAAAAATATGACAGAAGACTATTTCAAGGACCAATCCCTGGGAGTTGTACATGTTATCCCCATCCTTTACTGTGATTGTTTTTAAGCCAGTTCCCTATCCTGGATAATATTCTCTTCAGTTCCAGTAGATCAAAAGGTTGTAGATTAAGTACATAGCAAACCATTGAATGGAATCAAAATAATAAATCATAAATCTTAAAGAATACATTTTCTTGGAAACAGGGATTGAATCTGTGACTTGATTGACATTATTTCATTGGAAATGATTATAATGTTATTATTCACTTCATTGAACCTTAGACACAGACTAGCAATAGTCAGGGGTGGACTAGAAGCTGTGTTCTCAAACTATTGCTCTCTTTCCAGAGTATAGGCCTCCCTTGTAGGCAGGTAGAGTAATTATTTCTTGGGAGGGAAGTTCCTTGGTCAGCCTTGATGTTAGTGATTGTCTCTCTCCAATCCCACAGAGACTATTTATAGAGAGCTACATATCTCCTCCTAGAACAGGTGATTCCTAGCTCTTCAGAAAGTTATACTGTGGGTTTCATTGTTTATCCCCACATGTTGAAATTTGCCTCTATTCCTGATTGGCTTCAGTGATGTGCAGGATGCGCTGGGATGTATAGCATATTGACAGTAATATCTGAATGCTCCAACTCCCATATTCATTTTTTTTTCCCTGAAGGAATAGGAGTGAGACATAAAGGTTGCGCCAACTACTTTTTAACACTCAACTATAGTATTAACATTATCAGCATATGTCTTATGATTGGATACAAAAGGTTAATGTAATAACAATAGCTAGAATTAGCTTGGTATTTTAAAGTTTGCGAAGTGCCTTATAAATATCATATTGTTTAATCTTCACAACAACTCTGGGAGGTGCTTTTTCACAGATGAGAAAAGTGAGTCAGAGAGAGGTCAAATGACTTGCCTAGGGTCAAATACTAGCTAAATAGCTAGTAACTACCTGAGGCTAGATTTGAACTCAGGTCTTCATGACTCCAGATCCAATGCTCTATCCATTGTGCCACCTACCTGCCTCTAAATATCAACACTAATGCTCCAAATATTACTCTCTGATTGAGTTTACTGTACTAATTATACTGCATTAATGAGAAACCATTTGAACTGGATAATAAATGCTTACACTTAGAATTTCTTCATCTTTACAACCATCATGCTAATTGTCTAAAATACTGCAGCTATTTCCTCAATAATACTTCTCTCTCCCAATTCACCTTTCACCAACAGAGCAATCTTTTTATCACTCTTAGTCATCATCCCTCACCACTATCCCACCTCACTCAATCATCCTTCACTTACATGTTTAAGCTAATCATTTGTATTTATGATCATTCTAACTTCCCTCTTTCCTCTAGTGGATCAAGCTTTCTTGAGTCAATTACTTATCATCTTCCCTTCATCACTAACAATTTTATCTATGAGTCCCTATCTATAAATCAGTCCTATAGCATATCCCAACATTTATTTTCATTTTTCAAATATTTTCTAAATTTTAACTTTGTTAAAGTCTCCTAATGTCATGGGACTCTGACTAATGATTGTGGAGCCATTTCACATTTTTTATGAGTATCCTATACTGAACTTTAAATAAGACTGTTTGAATTCTTTATGTATGTTACTGCATCATATATCACATTCACCTATAAAATTGCTTTAGCTGGACCACTGAAAAAATGACAAATGAGTGTAAAAACAGGTCACAACAGGCTAGACTTTGAACAGATAGAGATATGGAAAGCTGCTATAGGCTATGTGTTTATTTTTTATATCAAAGTCCTGATACATAGTAATAAGACATGGAAAGGAAGCATGGATAAAGACAATCTGAGTACAAACTCCAAACTTTATTTTAACTAATGGTTTCAACCTTTTCATCCCATGCTGTCTTTATCAGCTACGTTAACAAATAGAAGAAATGATTAATTTGACTTCTATTTTCATTTATTTCTTTAGCATACCCCGCCAAGTAAGAGGGTGTAGGGAGACCAGAAGAGGAAAAAAGGAGTCAAAAAAGGCTGGAAAACTGGTCTCTTAATAACCAAGAGTTGATTATATTTCTAACATATTGGAATACAACATTCAGTTCTAGTATGATTTTTTTATCACATAAATGCTTAAAAATAACCCAACTCTTCCTTTTTTTAAAAATTTTTAAGGTGTTCCTGGAAGTATGGCAAGAAGAACTTTTAAGGATCCCCAAAGATCATTTTTAATCTGGGAGTCCCAAACAAGCAAGAATCTTTCATCACACCATAACAAGGCCTGTAGGACTGCATTTTCTTCAAGTGTTATCCATCAGCATCTTTCTCAGCTGAGAAATACTAATTTTCATACAGAAGACTCTAAGCTAAAGGAGTATTATTATCAAGTTAGTGCCCCCCAGAGTGAAAATCTGCCAAGCGTGTATGAAAGAACCCCAAACAGTGGGACAATGATGCTACCTTCTACTCCATTAAGACAGTATAATGCATTAAATTATCCCCCCGAGAACACTTTACCTTTGCACACTTCTGAGATAAGCACATCATTCTGAAATGCCAAAGAATGTGGGGGGGTGGGAAACCATGGAAATACATATATTTTTGTGTTTGTGATAGTTTCTTAAGACAACTTGTATAATAAACCTTTGATTTTTCCAAAGGTTTCTTTAAGCTATGAAAACATCAATCTTGGGGATACATTATAGGACCCAAGCATTTTACCAAAGATTCTTATTGAGAGTAATATTAGAATAAGTAGTATTTGTTGTTACAGATGTAAAAATTGCAAGATGTATTTTATATATTGACACAATTTATATATGTAAATAAAGAGTAGTTCTCAGTGTTTATTTCTACTTCAAGGTGTATGTGATTCAATTATTAAGCTAACTCACCTTCAAAATAATGCAAAACTGGAAAGAGTTCTCAGGAACTACTTGGTTCTCCCCTTCACGGTAGCTTGAGAGGACCCAGAACCACCTCTGTGGTTTAAACTTATAGGCACATTTCAATGATTGGCTGCATTGATTGGTTTGAATATTAAGACAGAGATTGTCCTCTGCCCATTGCTTCCTCTTTTTCTTCTTGTTAGCAACAATTAATTCAGCTATCCCCAGTGATATCCACATAGTTTTGTATATTATATGTTATACAGCTATGTATAATTTCTATATAGAAGTTATATGGTATAGTTTCTCAGAGATTTACTTCTCAAGCAATATAGCTTCTTAAAGTTAAAAGAAGATACCCAATAATCTGATATTCTCCTTAGGCCTGAAAAGCTTCCAATAGGTTGTCAGTCAACCTCTACCACTTCAAATCCAAAATCAAAGTAATTGTAACTTCAATTTAAATTACCAAAAAAAAAAATCTACTCATCTTTATTCCTATAGCTTATCAAGAAATGTTCCTGTATTCATCAAAGTCAGTCCTTGGTTGCAAATTGGTGAATGTATTTAACTTTGTCCAATGGCTTCTATGTTTTTTTTTTTTAATACTTCAGTAACTACTCTCTTGTTGTTCAGTCTTGTCTGACTATTTTGTGACCCCAATTTGGGGTTTTCTTGGCAAAGATACTGGAGTGGTGTGCTATCTCCTTATCCAGCTCATTTTACAGATAAGGAAACTGAGGCAAACAGTAAGGTTATGTAATTTGCCCAGGGTCACATAGCTAGTAAGCATCTGAGGCCAGATTTAAACTCATGAAGATGAATCTTCCTGACTCCAGGCCTTATCCACTGCACCACCTAGCTGCTAAGGTACAATAAATGGCAAAAAGAATGTCCTGAAAGAGTCATACCTTTCAAAGTGCCTAATTTACTACTACAGAGTGACAGATACTAGAGAAACCAGAATTCAATGCAAATGTATCTTGAGTTGCAGAATATTTTCCTAAATCTTTGTGTACTTGCTGATTGAGCCCTCTTCTTCCATCACTCACTATGGCCCAAAAATGCCTTGTGTATTTCTGCTCTCCTGACTGCTCATATGGGTTCTATTTTTTTTTTTTTGCAAATCCAATTACATTTAAGATGCACTGAATGAGCTTGTTGTCAATTGGAATTGATTGGTGGAATCTTTAGTGAAGCAAAGAATAAAAAACTTTTTATTAATTTTGCAATCCTATTTTTATGTATATTAGGCATACCTCTAATTCCAATGCTGTTGTACCATAGCTTTGTAATCCCTAGTAATCTGTGTTTAATAAAGCCCAAGTTTTGCTTTTTTTCTAACTACAGTCTCAGTGAGAAGTACCTAGGATGTTTCTCCCTGCCAAGCAGGCTTTTGATGCAATTGAAAATCGTTCTACAAACAACTGCTTAAGAAAATCAAGGGAAGCTTTATATTTGTTCATCAAATAAGAGAGTATTTTTAATTACCAGTAAATCACTGACATTACCTCTTAGGTAATGTTCTTAGTAGGTTCTGCCTGGAAACAAATAATGTTGATCTTTGACAGAACTGCTTTGTTCATTAAAATGAGTACAGAAGGAG